ATGTTATCGTTGATTATATGATATATGTCTTAAATTAATTTTTGCATTTAATAATAACACCTATATATAATTTACCTCTACTCCACCGATGGTTTCTCGAAGCAAGATTCGAACTCATGATCCCGGATTGCCAGCCGCTTCTGTTTCCATCTGCTCTATTCTTGAATACATATTTTGATCATATGAGAGAAGTATATGAAGCTCATCTTGAGTGACTTCTCTTGCAGTCGAATAATCATTGCCTTATGGTCATATAAACGTGCCTATCATTTGTGCTATTTTTAGCAACAAAATTGTGGTTGGTGGTTGGTCGAACGTAAACAATCATTTAAGAGTGCTCCAAGCAGCTTTTGAAGCTTCTAACCAAAAAGGCAATACAACTACATTCTTGTACAACTCTGGAAGCTATTATTCAACGTTTGATCAACTCAGGTGTTTTATAAGAGCTCCCAATTGTTTGTTTTGATGCGTTTATTCCACGTTTTGTATAGCTCTTGTGAATCAGTTTAACTAAGGTGCTATAAAAGTTATCGTAGGTCTTATAAAGCATATAGTTAAACCGAACGTGAACAATCATTTAAGAGTGCTCCAACAGCTTTTAAAACTTTTAATCAAATGGCAATACAACTACATTCTTGTTCAACTCTGGAAGCTATTATTCAACGTTTGATCAACTCAGGTGTTTTATAAGAGCTCTCAATTGTTTGTTGGGTTGTCTTTCTTGGTAAAATTATTTAACAGATGTTTCCATTTGGCATACTTTCCTGATAAATGGAAAAATGCAAAAGTTGTTCCAATTTTAAAGCCGGATAAAAATCCAGCTGAAGCTTCTAGCTACCTTGCTTGAACTTAAGAGAGCTTGATTGACCGCCCACGGTTGCTACTCTGTTATTGCCAGATCAGCTGTAATTACACAGAGAACCAATAGACGATGCTTGGGACTAGCAATCATCCTCAATGTGTAAAAACTGGTGATCTTGAATTAGGCAATACCAGCGCCGGCCGCGCCCGAACACAGGTCAAGAAAGGAATGGGAAGGATTGTGTTGACATGACACTCGCTTTGATGGAAGCCGAGAACACCTCTGCACTTCCACGAGGAATCACTGGGATGTTGGATAAGAGGGTTGGGTTTGCAGCAGGGTTCGTTTTGGTAAACGATAAGCTGAATTAATGTCCTAACGATCATATAACGCGAAGGAGCTTGGGACTAAACCCACGGTTTTCTGCTCAGTAAGCAAAAACGTTTGCCACTAGGCAGACGAGCACCTTTTTAATCACCGAGTTGCTGTTATTACCATGTAGTCATATTAACAAATAAAACGATTGACGAATCTTGATTGTGGATGGGCCTGAGATTAGACTCATGATGTTCTGCTCAGTAAGCAAAAACGGTTGCTCTAAGGCCACCGAGCCCCTCATATCACATAATACCGTTGCTCAAATTTTTGTATCCATTCAAACCCGGAACCAACGACAACAACGAGTTTCGCAAAATACACGATACACAAGCGATTTTACTATAAATTTCTTTGATATGTAAGGACCTGGGACCGCGTTTTTCTGCTCAGTAAGCACCCGCATAAACAATAACCATAAGATGCGCCTAACCACCAATTCGGGATATCATCCCAATTTTATGTGGTATGGTCGCACCATCTAAGATATCGTCAGTATATGGTACACGTTTATTAGGGCAGGCCACTGTAACCGACGATCTTTCAAATCCGAAAACTAAAAACTACGAAAAAGTACTTAGGCCTTCATTAAGTTCCACATTCACGCGACGTACAATGTTTCAATTTGCTCTTTACGTATTGTTCAGGCTAGGCCCTTTTCAAAATTTACGCGAGAAATACGCACAATCGTCACCTACCTCGCAAAACTGGTTCCAAACGACAACAAAGGCATAAGCAACGATGGATTGTTGAACTTTTCTGGCTCCGGTGGTGTAGTGCACAGCAAAAAAAATGTAATATCGATCAACGTAATTCAAGCTGATGTATGGAATAATGATGTAGGGTAGATGTACCAGTCACGGCTATACGCTCCTATTATGATGCGCTCCAACCATGGCATATAGGATTTCCATAGGCCACGATTGGAACACACCACAACAGGAACGCACAGCCATAACTGGTACATCTACCCTAATTGTAATTTTGTAATTTATCCGCACACACCCTGGTCGACCACTGTAAACCAATCTGCCGTTCAGCGTTATCGGTTTTTGTTTCTGGATCTTTAGTTGCCTCTGTGATATACTTACTTGCGGCATACTATTTTGGGAGTGTATATGAGCGTGTACCATGTACGGTAGCTCATCTCTCATCGTGATGGTGGGACATAGCAGACAAATTAGAGAGAAAACAAGGAGGTATTAGTATTAGTTATATGTAAACAAACAAAACAAAAGTTAGATAATGCGGCACTGTAACTACTACTATTTTAGAGGTATGATTCGTCATGTTTAACTCAATGTTTTGAGGCAATTGAGGCAAACTATCTATCTTACAATTACAAAAGCAAACCTAAACTTACAATTATATGCAAATGCAAAATGAAACTTGACAAATCATCGTCAATTCCCTTATTCCAGGGCAGGGCCTGACGATTTGAATCTAATTTTGATCAGTGAACGGGCACCATATGGTACATTTTCTCACCATGAACCTATCATTTCCAGCCTATCTGAACTATTTAATAAATGGAAGCCATAACATGGGTTACGCTCCCCCTAAGCGGCCCTCCGCATCCTGTCTCTGTCTTATCTCAAATACAAAATGCCAATGGTATGAATGTATATATAACTTGGAAATGACGTACAATCAAATAAACCCGTAACCCACTCACTTGGTCAGGCTTCAGAATCGTCCAGTGGGCAGTGCACTCTACACTCCAAGTTCCCTTTTTTTCAAATTTACCGCAAATTTGATATTTTACCCATTGAGTGTTGATTAGTCACAATGAAACATTGTGACAGAAGTTGAGGTTACTAGTGTATTAAATAATCTAGGTCCTATTTAGGATTATATCTGAAAAATCCAAATCTGGCCAACGCCCACCCTAAACCTAAACCTGTTCTAATCCACCTGAAATGACTAACGAATGGAAGACTTTGACTACCCAGCCATGCAATAGTCTCATTCCGTGCCTTATGGCAACTTGATGATTCTATTGCGCTCATCTTCTGGCACCACCCAGGGGAGACTTGGTCCTGTACCCAATGCTTAACTTATCTCCATTCCACTCAACTACTCGCAATTTCGTGTGATATAGTGGGCGGAATATTATTATATGAGACAATTCAATGCAGACGTCTTTCCAAATTTGGCAGATCGACAGGTAATCGGTGAGTTAGCACGATAGTTGCTATTCAACAACTCGACAACGTCCCATCGTCAACGCCTGCTATGAGAATTTCCCATAGCAGACGCCAACGAAATGACGTCATCGAGCTATCGATCAACTACCCTGGTTATCGCCTGGTACCTTATAGCACGATGCTAGGAGGCGAACCGGAAGAATCGATGAGCTACCTCCCCCCAGCTGAAGCTTCTAGCTACCGCCCAATAAGTTTGCTTTCTTCAATAAGTAAACTTTTTGAAAAGATAATTTGGAATAGAATGATGCTTCACATCAATACGAACTCAATTTTTGCAGATGAGCAGTTTGGATTTCGCCATGGGCATTCAACTACTCATCAACTCTTAAGAGTTACCAATTTAATTCGTTCAAACAAATCGGAAGGCCACTCAACTGGAGTTGCTCTTCTAGACATAGAAAAAGCATTCGACAGTGTTTGGCACGAAGGTTTGATTGCTAAATTGAAAAAGTTTAATTTTCCACTTTACATTATGAAATTAGTTCAAAAATTATTTAACTGACAGGACTCTGCAGGTAAATTATCAAAATTCCAAATCTAATCGACTACCTGTTAGAGCAGGAGTTCCTCAGGGTAGCATTCTTGGGCCTATATTGTATAACATTTTCACTTCGGACCTCCCTGATTTGCCTCAGGGTTGCCACAAATCTTTGTTCGCTGATGACACAGGCATTTCCGCTAAAGGAAGAAGTCTTCGTGTTATTTGCAGCAGACTTCAGAAAAGTTTAGATATTTTCTCTTCTTATTTACAAAAATGGAAGATTTCTCCCAACGCTTCCAAAACTCAACTTATAATATTTCCACATAAGCCTAGAGCTTCGTTTTTGAAACCTAGTAGTAGTCACATAGTCACTATGAACGGAGTTCCAATTTCCTGGTCAAACCAAGTGAAATATCTTGGATTAGTACTTGACCAAAAATTAACTTTTAAAGATCACATTGAAGGCATTCAAGCTAAATGTAACAAATATATAAAATGTTTGTATCCTCTTATAAACAGAAAATCCAATCAGGAAATATTTAAACAAGATTTTAGATCGGCCATGCTTTATATCTTCCGTTCACCAGCCGCTTGCCTTGTCATCCGAGCTATCCTAGAATTCATCATAAGGGCAGCTCAATAATCAATAAAAGCTTGCTTGAAAGTGAATACCTCTCAGCACTCCAGATCGCAACTCTAGCTCCTTCAAGGCCCTTTGGGAATGATTAATTCATTTATCCTTGTTTACATGAGCCCAATGTTACCTCTTCACCTCTCTAATTTCAAGAAAAGGATGCTCGGTACAATCAAATGTTTAATGCTTATATTAATGATTGTATGTATAATTATTGCGAACATACCGCACTGAAAAGCGATTCAAGTTAATCGTTTTTTGATCGACAAATCGAGAACCTATTCAAAATTAATCGAGATTCGACCTATTCAAAAACTAATCGAGTATTCATAATCACCCTATTTGGCTGCGTTCGTTCATCTCGCTCAGATAGTATTTTCTGAAGGGCACTTATCAGCTGCATGCGCTGCCTGACAGAGAAAAACCATCGCAGGAACAGAACCAGCTACTGAAAAGAAACTGTCAAAGGAAATTTTTGTGTTATTATATTTACATCGTCATTCATCAGCAGCGAAAAATTAACCACAAGAAAGCGCAGGACGTCAATAGTTACGGAAGTGAAATTTCGCAATCAGCCTCTAATTTTATCCAGTAGATAAACTTGAAACCATCCCGCACCAGAATCGGCCGTCGGTTCGTTGAAAAATCCAATTCACTGCACTGCTTCCTCAGGGGGAAAAAAAAACTAGAGTTCACAAAATGGTAAGTCTATTCGTCGTGTGGCAGCAGTTCCGTGTTTGGCTTCGTGCATGTCATTCTTTGTTCTCGCTCCTCCTTGTGTGTGGATTTTCCCGAGATTTTCCATCCGGTGGCGATGGGGCGTCTAATGATTATTGTTATTCTAACTCCGGCTAGTTCCAGTTCAACGGATTTAACATGATGTTCCCGGACCTTTCCCGTCCGTTCAACACCACCTACAAGTGCTATTCGGTTTCAATGCTGCCAGGAAACGAGCGCCAGGATGTCGAGAATGGAGGAAAAAGTGAGTTGGCGGTTTTTGGAAGGGGTTAAACATTTTTTGGACAATCCGTTGTTCTTTCCAGTCATTATGCCACCGTCAGCTTTGGATCAGCTAACCAGACTGAACGTGGAGTATCCGATGCTGTTCAAATTGACCAACAACAAAATCAACCGTAGCACACATGCCGGAGTGCTGGAGTTTGTGGCAGATGAAGGGAAGATTTACATTCCCTATTGGGTAAGTTGGAAGAAGTCATGCGGTAAATAAGGAATCTTGTTTGAGGTTTGTGAATTTCTCGTAGATGATGCACAATCTTCTGCTGGAGGAAGGTGATATAGTGCAAATCGAGAGTGTGTCTCTCCCGGTGGCCAAATACTCCAAATTCCAACCGCAGAGTGTTGAATTCCTGGACATCACCAACCCAAAGGCAGTGTTGGAGAACTGTCTGCGAAATTTCGCTTGTCTCACAACCGGTGACCTCATTGCAATCAAATACAACAACTACACGTACGAACTGTCCGTGTTGGAGACGAAACCGGGCCCAGCGGTCACCATCATCGAGTGTGATATGAACGTGGAGTTTGCTCCACCGGTGGGTTACACCGAGCCGACGAAGAAGGCCAAAGAGGAAGAACCGATGACGGTGGATCCGTCCGAGCTGATGCCCGAACCGGCCGGGTTCGTGGCATTCAAGGGAACCGGATCGCGACTTGATGGGAAGAAGAAAAAGGAAGGTTCAGTGTCGGAATCGGCCCCGGCTCAGAGGGCGGACTACGTCCGTGGCATTCCGGACTATGACCATCCGTTCGGGCTGCTACGATTCGACCGGACCGTCCGGAAAGTCGAGGCGCTCGAGAGCAAGAACGAAGAAGACCCGTTCGAGGCGTTCAAGGGCGAAGGGTTCAGTCTAAAGAAGAGTCGGAAATGAGTTCCGCTTGAAGAGGTGGGGTGATCAGGGGGGTGTTTTCTAATTTTTGCTGTAATCTACTACCTACTACTGATATGCGAACACGGAATAAAATCGTAAATTTAGAGTGTGATAACCGGAAGGAGGTAGCGTTACAGCGGTGTCTTCTTTTAGTTGGTATATTAGTTGAAGAATCATTATTTTAGACTTGAATCTTGTTCTGATAGGGATTGCTTCAGTTAGAATCAGCTCTATCCCGGGATTGGTTTGAGGCAAGACAAATGTTGAGTAATCAAAAAGAAGCTTATTTATTAAACTTATTTAAAAAATATTCCGATGAACTTTCGTTACAATGCATGCCATCATCCGCAGCACAAAAGCCTGGTTGACCTCAGCGGTCATCTCAGCTATTTCACCACCATCCCGCGTCACCTTGGTCAACTTATTTGAATCCTACTCAGGATCAGGATTCTCTTGGAATTCTCCTTACGTTTCACCTGGAGTTCCTCAGAACTAATTTGAAAGGAATCTCCAGATATCATTGTCCTAAAAATCATCCTCTGAATTCCTAGAGATCCTTGGAAATTCCCATCAAATTCATTCATTAAAGTTTGTAAGCTTCCAAACTTTTCCAAGACCCGTAATTTATTTGAGATCTGGATTCGTGGAATTTGTTCAATGTCGTTTTATCATCGTTCCAAAATCTTCTAAAACATTTCTCAAAGTTTGATTTCATTAGGTACAAGATTTCAACAAAATGTCCAAGCTTATAATCAGTAGAAATTATCCATGCTCCAGAACCTCAAAAAAGCACAATTCAAGCCTAAGAATTTATGTTGTTACTGAAAAAAGAATCCACTCCAGAATTATTTCGTTGAAGGAGTAAGAGTAACTCTGGCGTATTTCAATATATTCTATTCGTAAAAATTTGCTTGGTAAAGGAATTTGAAAATTCCCTGAATATTTTAAGTTTAACAGGTAGTAGACATTCTGACATTGGATTTTCTATTAATTATCGTAGAATTAAGTTTCTTCTCTCGTCTTCCAACGGGCATAACTTTTTAATACTATACGAATCATAACAAAACTTTCAACACTGAAAAAGAACAAACTTTCAAAACATGCCAAAACTGCGCTTCTATAAATCAGCTGATATCCGGATTCTAACTTGAAGCACACGGAGGCTGTGACTTGATCGTAACATTTTGGGAAATTTCTCCAGAAAAGAAACAGTCGAATGGATTATTCTATCTCTTTGTTCCTAAATTTGGCTCGTTTTTAATTGGATTGAACCTTCTCCATAAATCGACACTAGGTATAATACTTGAATCTAAACTTGCATCATTAGAATTAGATATATAGTATGTAGTAGACATTAAACGTGTATTAGTAGCGTAGTTACGTTTCACCTTCATGGAATTGCAAGATCGGCGAACCGCATTAGAAAAATCCTAAAAAAGAAACTGGAAACGAGGCCCGGATGAGTCATCTCACCCAATCCAATCCCTCGCTAAACGGACATCACTTACCATTCTAAAAAAAAAATAAATCCGAAGAACAAAAACCACTTGAACCATGATATTCGATCGACTGTAAAATGCATCTACCCCTACTGCCCTGGTCTAGAACCGCTTCAGAAACTCCTCCGAACAGATACGGGCCCTCGCATTGACGGCCAGCTTCATCTCGCTGATTTCCTTGTCGATCTCCTCCATGAAGTGAATCACAAAGTCCACCAGCTTGTGCTTGTACATCTGCTCCGTGTGGAAGTTGGTGATCAGGAAGCTGATGTCGTACCCTTCGATCGGTTTCCGCCGCAGCACGATGAAGTTCTCCGCCCGCATCATCATGAAACGGGTGAACTTGTGGCAGAGGATCTTCTCGATCTCGTCCGCCTGCTTGACGGCGATGCTGATCCGTACGGAATTGACGCTCGTTTCGATCAGAACCCGTTCCTTCTCGTTTCGGGAGATGACGACCGGTGTCAGGAGCAGTTCCTTGCTGGAGCGGACCTCCACCTCGGGTTTGTTGTGTCGCTCGACGACTTGGGAGGAAAAGTTAGTCAGACACATCGCTGCCGTGAGGGTGTGACGAACTGCCGTCAGATACGGTTTGAGCGTTGCGGCCATTCTGTTGAGCTCTGGAATAATTTAGAATGGTATTGGGGACGAATTGGAACGAACTTTAACATGCGCTGCAGTAATTACCTGATTAAAACGATTAAATTTGGTAGAAAACGATGAAAACACTCCCACTGATTGCGAATTTTTCCTTTGCTTATCTTTTTCCGAACGGCGACAGCTCATTCATGTTGACAGTTTTCACAAGGAACGAATGGAAAAAGAAGCGCCCTTCAGAATCAGTTTGTATAACTGGCTGCGTCATGATATCATGCGAAGCGAACAAAGGATGGTATTCAACGGGGAGGTTTTAATCTCGAGCAAGTAATTGGCAAATTAAAGGTGCCACTCGTGGAGAATAGAAGAACTATGAGATTGATGATATTTTCAGATTTTTACACGGTGAGGCATACGAGTGCAATCTTAAAATGCTTTTATTTTGCAAATGGAGCATTTTCTTTAAATCTGGTTAATGCTACGTTAGTACACTAATAAAAATTCAATGATTATTTTTATGTGTCCCACACATGAATTATTGCAATGTGATAAACAAATGATATTTGCATGTCGGACACATAGTTCTTATGTGTACACATAAAATTCATTGTTCACATACTATTCATTTGACTCATAAATTTCATGTGTTCCCTTGAGTGGATTCTGTTTATGTGTGGACACATGAAAATCATGTGGAATTTTACATGGAAATTCGCCAATAAAAATGTGTCGAATTTTATGAGTGTAGAAAACTTAAGGACTACTCAATAGACATATAATATAAATAAAAAAATAAAGGGTTGTGTCCTAGGCACGACCGCAGTATGACGTAGAACCACGCAAAATTGATGTTTGTCATGCATTTTGACTATTATACTTATTATTATGAATGGGGCGGTGCAGAACGTTTCTTTTGTGCAGAATATAGAAAAAAGTAGAAGGGCCTGTGCCTAGGGGCACGAACGGAAGCTTGACGTAGGACCGCTAGTGGACGGAATAAATGTGAAGAGCAGTAAGTTCTTTTAATTGATCAAATCAGGCATAACATTTGATAACGGCACAAAAGCATTTGTAAACAAACATTCTAAGGCCCTTTACACGCGAATGATGTTGTTGGTTTACGTGGGCGTACTTTGGTTCGCGTGTAAAGGGCCTTAGAAGGATTGTTTACAAATGCTTTTCTGCCCATAATCGCAAGTCAGTCCCATCTGTAAAAAACTGGAAATGAGAAAACGGCGTTCAAAGATTTTACAACTTTTCTGATTTGACACTTATTTTGGAGGGATAAAGTTAAAAATAAACGTACAATGTGATAGAATGCATCTATGTTTACCATAAAATATCGAAAAAATATCGTGAAATTTTTATTTTATGGCCAAAATCTGAATGGGACTGACTTGCGATTACATTTAACGTCAATGAGAAAAATAACCGCAAGTCAGTCACAGTTCCATGACGATGCTGCATTAGTTTAGCACAATATTGAACAGTAGAAAGATACCATGGTCCCATAGAACGTTATTGAATGTTTCTGGATTTGTTTTGCTGGTTCCAGAGCAATGGCCGGAACGTATTCCGGTGAGTATGGTTCTTCATCAGACCAGAGCTTTTCATAAACGTACCAAACCCACCATGCGATAAATCAATTGATTATTCACATAATTCACATGAGAATTCAAAAATAAGATCGATAAGAGTCATGATCAGTCACCAGCACCATGTTGGCCAAACCCGGGTATGTTCGGGGTATCCTCGGGGAAGTGGTAAATTCTTTTTAAAACAAAATCCATCAAGCGATATATCAAATCACATGAGAATTCAAAGCCATTCATTGGCGGTCAAACTGAGTATCGTAAGAACTATATTGGCCACATCAGTACATGTTCCAAATACCCTACGGGAAGTGGACAAAATCTGTCTTGAGACAAATCTCATGATGCGATGTGTTGTCTAACATTTCTAACATATTTTTTTCTAATTGGACTGACTTGCGGTTACTCTTCGGTGTGGGACAATTTGACTTGGTATTGTTTTTCATTTTTCTTGAACAAACCACCTTTTTTCAAAAGCACATCTTAAAAAACATAGAAAGATAAACTGAATAATGATGCTAACTCAAAATTGATTAAAATGCAGATGGGACTGACTTGCGATTACCGGCAGTTTTGTGCCGTTATCAAATGTTATGCCGGAAATATCTATTATCTCAACTCTTTCCGTTTTTGAATTGTAGGCGATCCAAATTTGTAGTAATCTTTTTCAAAAAGAAAGTTGATTAAGAGAATCAATCCAAATCAATTGCACCCCTGCTTCCAAGTTTGTGTGGTCGTTGGGGGCTTGTGATTCTGAATATGGACAAACAAGCACAGATAAATTCTATTCCAACTCTTTACTGATGTAAGCTTGATGGCCCTGAAAAGGGCCGTTTTATTGAAGAGGACATCCATGGCCACTTACGCTTGGCGTGTTTAGAGTAGGTGACAGCATCACGGACCTCATTTTCCACGAACACCTTCAGCACACCTCGTAGATCAGACCGGAGATACGTCAGACACTGCCACGGCGAGCCAGACGACGGATGGTGGTTATCTCGAAGAATTTGCGATGACGATTGGCACCTCCTTTGCCACGACCTACTGCTGCTATTGCTGACCACGCCGTCCGAAGCGAAAATGAGCTGATACCAGATCTATATTTCTTGAATTTGTGTGGTTTACATGGATAACTTATCAAGTGACACAGATGCGTCTTTTCAACTTTAGTTCCTGTGAAATTTCAATTATTATTAATTACAGTTCCTAGTCCTATCAGGCCTGTTTTAGAGAATGACCACCTTGGTGGGATTGGTTTGCTTGAAAATTTGAAAAAGAAGACTACTTATAACTACTATTTACAACTACAACTAACCTACAACTACTATATACACCTAATCTACTATTTACAAATTGCTTATCAAAGCATGTTCTGATAAATTACATTTTTGTGCAAATTTAGTCTTAATTTCGTTAATTCTGGAATCTATTTTGGCAATGCCTGCCTCTTCGTGTAAATTTGTTATTCTAGTGTCAAAAGGACGATCAAGTACCATCCTCAGCACTCTATTCTGAGCAACCTGGATTTCGTTCCTGTGAGTCTGTGCACATGATTCCCACACCGGAGCTGCGTAGAGGATCGCAGGTGCTATGATTTGTTTGTAGACGGCCAGTTTGTTCACCCTTGAGAGGCGGGATCTGCGGCAAATCAGCGGAAACAGACACCTAACCAAGGCAGAACACTTGACTACTGTTTTCTCTACATGCGAGCGGAAAAGGAGCTTTTCATCGAACAACATTCCGAGATAGGTTACTTCGGCAGACCACTCAACCCTTGTGCCATCCATGATTACAGTACAAGATGGAGCCGGTTTCAGTTTGGGCGATTGCCGATGTAGGAACATGATCGCTTGTGTTTTGGAGGGATTGATTTTGATTTTCCACGTGGTGGCATAATCAGCAAAGGCGTTAAGGCATCGTTGAAGTTTGTTCGTTATTTCGCGAGGCATCCTTCCTTTGACGGCTATTGCGGTATCATCTGCGAACAGGAAAAACACGCAACCGTCTCCAAGGGGAGGAATGTCGGAAGTGTAAATGCTGTAGAGCAACGGGCCCAGCAGACTACCTTGCGGGACTCCTGCTGGGATCGAAAACGTGTCTGAGAGACAACCATTCAACGATACCTTAAACGACCTTTGCTGGAGGTAGTTACGGGTGATTTTAATAAGATGTAAAGGAAAGTTGAAGTTACAAAGCTTGTACACAAGTCCGTCATGCCAAACATTGTCAAACGCCTTTTCAACGTCTAACAAGGCCATGGCTGTGGACTTGGATACAGCTTTGTTACTTCGGATGTTATTCATCACCCGTACTAGCTGATGATTGGTGGAGTGCCCCTTTCTGAATCCAAACTGTTCCGGAAGGAGAATGTTATTTTCCTCGACAAACTTGAGCAAACGATTGAGAATGAGTTTCTCGAACAATTTGCTCAGCGCTGAAAGGAGGCTGATTGGTCTGTAGCTTGAAGGCAATGTTGGATCCTTACCGGGCTTGCGGATTGGTATGATTTTTGCTACTTTCCAGATGCTTGGAAAGTAGTGCAGTTCCAAACATCTGTTGAAGATAGCGGTTAGAAGAGACTGCACTTTCATGCTGAGCCTCTTCAAGATCAAGTTGAATATACCGTCAAACCCGGGAGCCTTCATGTTCTAGGTGCATTTCAGCGCTGAGCAAATTTGTTGTACTGTAATCATATCCGCCGGAGGCACGACACAAGGGGAGGCATCTAGGTTTTGAACGCATTGCGCAACCTGATCATCGAGCGGACTTTGGATAGTCGAGCCAAGCAAATGCGATGAAGCGACATGCTTGCCGATCGCATTTGCTTTCTCCTGTGGGGTGATTAAAAGCCGATCGTCATCATTTTCGACTTTGAGAGGTGGAACGGGTTTGGGATGATTTTTCACGACCTTGGCTACCTTCCAGAATGGTCTGGAGCGGTCGTCCAGATTCTGGACAACACGCCCGAAACTTTCATTTCGGAGTGAGTCCATTCTGGAAGCAATCTGCCTGTTCAGATCGGCCATTTCACGTTTTTTGCCCAGGTCTCCAGTCCTCTGAAACTGGCGTCTACGCACATTTCTCAATCGAATCAATAATTGGGTGTGGGAATTAATAGCAACAAACTTACCCCTCACAGGAACTTGTCGAACGCATGTCTCGTCAGCCTCGGATATGGCCTGTTGGAGTCCTTCCAACGCCCGGTCGATGTCATCTACGGTGTCGAGTAGTGGATTTTCATCGATGTTGCTGTCCACCATTCGACCGTACTGCACCCAGTTGACATGGTGGTAGTCTTTACGCAGGCAGCCTCTAGCAGGAACCACGTTGACACCGACTTCAGTCACCACCGGTTGGTGGTCGGAGCTGAGATCGTTGTGCGCCTCCGGCTTGGATAGTCCGATGTTTGACAGGAAAAAGTCTAGCGTGGAGGGATTTCCCGCTGGAGAGATGAAAGTTGGC